GATGGCACCTGGAGTTTAGTATCCAGGGTTTTTCCAGGGAGCACATCCTGCTGCCACTTTGTAAACTAGCTTCCTTTAAATGCAAGTGTTTCTCTGCGTAACACTGTTGAACAGAATTACCCTACTTTACATTGGTGTTACTGGAAGCAAAATTTAGCCCATTTATTTCTTTCCTAAAACTGCTGTAGATTAAGCAATGGTGCCAGTACATTTTGCCTTTCAAATATTCAGGTAGTTGAAGTTTTGAGTCCTTTGAAAAATTGAGTGAAACATCAGCTGCAAGGTACAAATATGGTGTGTCTCTGCTTTCATTCACTTCCTCCGCTGGCTGTAACAAAGCACAGATTTTTGCTCAGATTATCACCTCTGATTACCAAGTAATTTTCTCAACAGATAGAAAATGCTAAAGAAACAGATGACCAGATCTCAGTGTCAAAAAGAAGAGAACCACCTGCCTTTCAAATATCATGCTTCCTAACATAGTCCTGGGTAAAGCAGCTACAGATGTTATGGTCACTTCATAACATTTTTAGTACTGTGGTTATGAGGTAGGAAATAATTTCTGAAGTTTAGAGGTGGAACCACTAGCTTGAATAATAAAAAAGGACCACACAACCAGAAGCCAATATCACTATGTGGCATACATAAAGCAGTTTGCACAGCTGTTAGCCAGGAGATCTTCAGATGCCAAGGTCTATCACGGAGCCATTTTCTAGTTTACTCTTACATTTTGGTAATTCAAACTAAAGTGCCATTAGACGGCAAATGTAGTGTTAGTCACTAAGGGATTCAAAAGTAACTAATTCAGTAATTGAACTGCCAGTAAATTGTAAGTAAACTGGCATCAGTTTACTTTATGTTCTTTATTTGGCCTTTCAGATAACTCTAATTACTAGAGTTTCTCCTTTTTATGGGAAAATATATCCTCCAAATTTGATCCTATTCCATTCCCCAAAGATGAAAATACTTTTTAAACACCTCAATAATTTAAAAAAAAAGTTTTTTTGAAAGGGAGGGTGATAAAAGCCAAAGCTATGTTTTCCCATGATGCAGTCAATTTGTACCCATATCTTGCAAGGCATTAAAAAAAGAGACTGTTGGTGTAGAAGACCTTGTTGAAACTCGAGTGTAATTAGGTAACGTTTTCAGAACTTTTTTCCCAGTTTCTTTGTTGGTTAGTTTTATTCAGCTTTTCCAGTGATCTGGAGACAGGACTTTCTTTAAAACTTCAGGTTACTCTTATATTTAAGTGCAGTGTATTAATAGCTACTCCATTCAGTTCATACCTGATACTGTACAGTAGTAAGCAAATATTCTATACAAAGGGTCTATTGAAAGTTTTTCGTTTCAAAAGCTTGTCTGTGGCTCAGCAATATACTGATTTTGATCAGATCAAAAATAGCCACATGAAAGCACTGATCTAATAGAAATTCACCCAGAAATATGTGGCTAGCAGAGTTTCTTATTCCAGAGCAGGTATCGACTGCCCATGACACCTCCTTTCTCACAGATCAGCTACCTTTTGTTCTACTGCAGATGCTATGAAACCCAAATAGCAGCCAGTATAAACCCTGTATCATGCTTTCTTCCTAATCTTTGTCCAGGCCTGATCTGGGTCACATCTGTTAGAAGTATGCATGAACAGGTCCAGTATCAGTGCATATGATACCAACATCCAGATGGATTGATTTTAAAAATATTTGTTAGTACCATTATGTCTAGCTAGCAAAACAGAGCTTAGGTTAACATTTCTTAGAACTTCATTTTCATAATATTATGAGTTGTAGAGATATTTTTCTATCTATGAACGGGGTATGAAATAGTAGAAGCTGATTGTTAAAGCATTGACTTTTCTTCCTCCTCTTGTCTATCACCCTTGGTTGTCTTTTTAAATAGATAATTGGCTTGAATCTTCAAGGATCCTCAAGTAGATTTTGATCCATTAAAATCAAATGGAAATATTGGCTTGTTTTGGTTTTTTTTTGAGTACTGTGCCAAAATTTATAAAGTCTTCCATGAAGTATGAAGCTCTTAAAGACATGTTTAAGTGGGAATCTTAGTGAGCAGTCAGAGATTATGATATTGCTGGATCTGGAGTGAAGTGATTCAGCACAGATTCAGGACAAATTTTAACAAAAATTAATTGGAAATACCAAAAAAGTCATAGAAAAATATTAATGTGGCAAGATAATATTTTAAATTTACTTATGTCATCTCATTAAAAGAATGTTGAATAAAAACATTTGAAAATGCTGAACTCTAAATGAAATAACATTGGATTGGAAAATTTTCTATTATCACAGAACAATGTGTTAATGTACAACCTGACAGGTAACTGCTTCTGCAGGAATGTTTGGAACCAGCTGAATATTCATTTCTCACTACTAAGCTTTTCAATGGATTACTCCATACTGGAGTTTGCTTTAAGTGTACGATGTGTTTTCAATTATTCAACTACAGTCCAGTTTCTAATACAGAACATACACCCCAGCAAGATGTTTTTGTCTTTCTCAAGTATGTATTAGTTGTGAGATCTGGTCTCTGATTCATTTTCCACAAAAATGCTCCTGTCAAGAAGGTTTCTAAAATGCTGTTATTGTCAGCATGTCAGATTTTTACACAAATCCTTGTAAATGACAGTTTATGACTTTTTTAAATAAGGTGATGATTTTTTTAAAAACATTTCAGGGTTTTTTACTTTACTTTTCTGTTGCCTAATACATTCAATTTGACTTTTGGAATCCACCACTGCTCCCCAAAGGATTGAAGGGATGCTGGAAGACACTGACTCAAGAAACCTGCTTTGGACTGTATTTGTCCTCTTACGCAAGGAGAGTGAGTTGAAACCTCAATCCAGTCCTCATGACTGGTCTTTGTAATAAACCAATCCTTATCTGGGATTTAAGGAGCCACATGATCTTTAAGAAAGCCCAGAGAGAAAACATCACTTTATGGCTAATATATTGATTGAACAAGATATTTTGCTCTCTGATTGCACTTTCTCTTCACTGTATGCTGCTAATTGTTTTAAGGACCAAAATTCTATTCCCAAGTGAGCTTTTTTGCCTTCTTGCCTCTGCATGTGCTTGCCTTATTAAGGAGCCACATGATCTTTAAGAAAGCCCAGAGAGAAAACATCAATTTATGGCTAATATATTGATTGAACAAGATATTTTGCTCTCTGATTGCACTTTCTCTTCACTGTATGCTGCTAATTGTTTTAAGGACCAAAATTCTATTCCTCAGTGAGCTTTTTTGCCTTCTGCCTCTGCATGTACTTGCCTTAGCTTTATCTCAGTCTTAGACACTTGCACTTTGTTTTGAATGGAGGGGTGGAAGAGCATTTAGTTAACCTGTTATGAACTTCTTTCCCCTTCATTCCTCTTGAAGTCCCTATTGCCTTTACGATTTCACTGGCTTCAGTTATTTTTGTCGCCTTGACTATTGTTTTGCTTTCTATACATATCCACTTGCGTTTATGTGGTTTCTTTTTCATCTTTTATATCAACAAAAATCCACTTTCTTCTTTTAGTGCTTTTACTGTAAATTTTCTTTACATACCTGTTTTCTTCTGAGGAACAGCCAGTATCTAGGAAACATTCTATTTAATATCCAACTTTTGTACTGGTTCTGGAAGGTGGTGTAGTCTCGTCCTAATGTGCTGGGTAATACAACAGCACATTCATAATCACTGCTTCCTAGTAATTCCTTCTCTTTCAAACCAGAGCAATGGAGTCAGAAAGACAATACTTTTGAATTGAAAAGGGGACTTGATCAAGGTCTGTATAGTAAATGATTCACTGCTGGTGGAAGGCACAGCTACCCATCTTTCTAATCAGCATCTTCAGTCTGTAAACAGTGTCGCATTGGCTGCAAGATCAGGAGCATCTCTGTGGAAGGAGAATAGGTCTGAGTTACATCTTGGCTCTGATTATGTCTGCTGTCCTTTCTGGAATAAGAGAATCAAAGTGATTAATCTTTAACCTTTGGAAACTATACCTCCAAACACCTTATCTGGATGAGCAAGAGTACAGGGTACTTCTTTGTCTCATAGATTTCTGCCTGATACTGAGGCCCACTGTTGGCCATGACTGGTAGCAGTGGTAGGTCTTGTTCTCAGAGTTTGCCAAAACAGTCCTTCATTTTTTTTTGGGCATCGCCTTAGTGCCAGTATCACCAGGATGAATCTTTTGACTGCTGCTGAGCCAAGAGACATCTCAGTTCTGACATATAATACGCAAATTCTCTCACATAATACATCAGTCCAGCAGCCATAGAGATGCCTGTTTATCTCTTTAGCCCCTTCCAGAAGGCAGTTTGTGCTTTAGTTTCATAATAAAGGTGGTATTGCAAACACTAGGAATAAGCTTTCTAAAAGTACTTCCCCTAATGTTTCCCATCCTATATCGTGGTACTTATTCTATCCAGTGGAAATTTGTGGGAGAGCCTCAGGAGATAGTTATTTCATTTTTTTGAAGGACTGAAAGGCTCTGATCCCCTGACTTCAAGGCATATGGGGATATAACTCTTAAAGGGAAAATTCTGACAACACCTGACCCAATATAATTTTTGTTTTGACTGGCATTTACTTTGTTCCACTGAATTTATTCCCCTTGAAATTTGTCATCAGAATGAAGTGCTAGCAGAGCAATTATTACCTTTAATTTTAGGTTTGTAAAGCTTCTAGCACTGCAAGACTGAGCTCAGTAGCAGATCTTAGGTGGTAGCACAGTATGATGATCAAAATAATGTAACTTCTTTTCTAGCAGTAGCCATTTACTGTTGGTGTGTCTGAAGATGCAGTGATCCTCCTGCATGGATTGTAAGCCAGGTTAGCTTGTGCAGTCCTCATTTCCCCACTGGAGCACTTATACAAATAGACCAGTGGTTCTCTGGGATGAAGAAATGTGCAGTGCTCTGCTGCTGGGTTCCTGGGGAGCTGTCAAGCATAAGCTAGTATAGACATCGCACTAATAAAAGTCTGCTTACTTTTTGTACAGGGATCAGCTGGCTTACCTGGAGAACCTGGGCCTTCTGGAAGCCTTGGTGAAAAGGTACAGTAACATATCTGACTATTGAGCAGCAAAAATGAGCTTTGAAAGCCATTGGGGTGATAAAATATTGGTGAGATAGTTTACTGACCACTGACAAAGCTAATATTCCTGTAACTATTTCAGAACTCAGGGATGTAATAAATGGTAATCAAAATCTCAATCCAAATTTGAGATATCCGTCTGGTATCCTTGATTTTACTTGACAATTAATTTAGAGCTAATAGATCTGATAACTTGGCCATATTATGGCACTTATTTTACTATCCACTGCTATTGATTCACAGAAACTGACATGAATTATACTTGTTTTATACAGTAGTCACTGTTTTTGCACTACTACATAGCGAAGACAAAAGTAGAAAGGTAAAATTTGGCTGTATGCATTAACTGAGTAAAGAAGACAACATTGTTAATTTTATCTGCTGTGCAGTAACAGTTGTGTTTATGAAAGCAAAGTTTGGCAGACTTAATATGACTAGAACAGTATAACTAGCTTAAGCATATTTGACATGGGTTTATTTAGTTAAAAACTGAAAAACAGGAAACTATTACTGGACTGCATGTCAGCTTCAATTATAATAAAAACATAATTGTTTGTCAGAATGATCCAGCACCGTTTATATTTCTTCCCTGCAGGGCTGAATTATTTCACCTAGACTGATGGCTGCTATTTGGATATCTTATTGAGAAAGTCTTAATAATGTGTTAGAACTCCCATGAAAATCTGATTATAATTTATATAATCTATGAAAGGAAATACATCAGTGGAAAGAACTGCTTGGTAAAACTAAAATTTAGACAAGTCTCATATGGTTTTAATCATAAAATCATCTTATAATTCTAGTTCTTTATAACTACAGTTGGCCTAACAAAGATTACATTGGGGTACTGCTGCTAGTTTAGCTAGGAGGGAAAAGGTGGTAAAAGACTAATCTATCATCAGCAAGTGGAAGCAAGCTTCTTCGTGGTGCAGTAATTTTTGTCATTTTTGTGCTGTTTCTGTAGAATTTATTGTCTTCCTTTTTTGTGGATTAAATCGTACAATGTAAATATGCTATGTGGATTTAAATTACAAACATACTTCCAGCATAATTATTTTAAAGAAATGTGTCTTTACAGTATGTAACATAAAATATAGTGTTACCATTATGTCGTGTACTATCTGCAATAAAAGTGTAATCTTTGTATGGGGGTCATGTACAGTCAAGCCCGATGTTTGGGCTGGTTGTTATATGAATAAAAGTTGAAAAATTATGTAAAAGGTGAAAAGAAAGAGACGCTTCCT